TATATAAACAGAGAAAAGGCTGCAATGCAAAGTCAAAGTGCAGGATCAAGAGTCAAATTGTTTCAAACTAAAAACTACCACATAAATTATGATGTTAGAAGTTTTGATTTTCTTTCTCAAACTTTACCTAAATGGAACAATTAAAAAAAAAAACCCTCAAGTAGGTTCTTGTTAGCATTTTAGCAGTGACATTTACCCAGCCTCAGTCTAAATAGAAGCTTAAGCCTGGTTGATATTTCAACGTGACGTGAGACAGTGAATCAGTGACTACGTCATTTTGGATGTCTTTGTCTATCTGTCGTGTAGAAGACTCAGGAGATCAATTGTATCTAGCGTCAGTACTTGGTCCATTAGTTGGCATGTCAGATCATCACATACAGAACACCATGGACTTCGTGAACAAGGTGAGTGATGTCATCATGGAGACGGATGAAACGATGGTCTCCTTTGATGACACATCACTCTTCACATGCGTTCCTGTTGATAAAGCAGTGGATGTGGTCTGTGTAAGATTAAAATCAGACACCACTCTCAGCAGCAGAACCACACTTTCCACAGAACAAGTGTGCCAACTTCTGTAACTGTGCCTGGAATCAACCTACTTCACATATGGGGGGCAGTACTATAGGCAGAAACATGGGTGTGCTATGGGCTCCCCAGTTTCTCCTATTGTTGCAAACCTGTACATGGAAGAGGTGGAAAACAGAGCTTTGATGTCCTTTACAGGGACACCACCGAGACACTTGTTCAGGTACTGTGGATATAAAAAAGTCTACACACCCCTGTTAAAGTCTAGATCTTAGTGATGTAAAAAAATGAGACTAAGATAAATTATTTCAGAACTTTTTCCACCTTTTTTTGTGAGCTATATGTACAACTCAATTAAAAATGTTTTTGGGTGCAGAAAGTAAACAAAAAAAAAGGTGGTTGCATAAATTTGCACACCATTCAACCACTTTGTTAAAGCACCTTTAGACTTTATTACAGCAGTCTTTTTGGGTAGAAGTCTATCAGCATGGCACATCTTGAGTTGGCAATATTTGCCCACTCTTCTTTGTAAAAATGCTCCAAATCTGTCAGATTGTGAGGACACCTCTTGTGCACAGCCTTCCTCAGATCCTCCCATAGATATTCTGTGGGATTCAGGTCTGGAATCTGGCTGAGCCAATCCAAAACATTAATCTTCTTCCTGTGAGGCCATTCTGTTGTTGATTTGGAAGTATGCTTTGGGTCGTTATCATTCTGAAAGTTTCTCTTCCTCATCAGCTTTCTAGCAGAGGTCTGAAGGTTTTGTGCAAAGACCGACTGCTATTTGAAACGGTTCACAGTTTCTTCCACCTTGACTAAGGCCCAAGTCTCAGCTGAAAATGCTGCCATCACCATGCTTCGCAGTGGGGAGGGCCAAGTTCATCAGACCATGGCACAAATTCCCACATGTCTGGGAGACTACAAATCTGTTTTTGCAAAATTTAGCAGGGGTTTTGGGGTTTAAAAAATGGAAAAGGCTTCTGTCATGCAACTGAAGGAAAATTTATTTTGTTTAACGCTGATTTTTTCATGCATTACACATTCTTGTGTTTATTTAGAGATCTAAGCTATTATTTGTATTGTATTTTGTAATAACCTATCTTTGAATGCCATGATTAAACTGTGATTAATTGATGTGCACTCTGTCTTAAATGATTTGTGTCATGGGTCATCTTAAAATCTGTTYCTGTGGATTTATGAATGTATCTGCTGCTGCTACTACACCTGAATTTCCCCGCGCGGGACAATAAAGGCTGTTTCTATTTTATTTCTATTTCTTCTAAAACAGAATGTACTTTTAAAAGACAAGACTAGCTAACACATGCCTTGTCATCTTACACAGACCAACATGTCACTGTCTTCTCATCAGAACTCAACAGAGTTGTTGTATAGGRATCTGGTCACGTGGTAGGGAAGGCCAATTGATGTGACATCTTGCCCCTGAGGTGTGGCCAGGTCCAGAAGAAAATAGATAAAATGTGTTTGTTTGTTTTGATTCTTGRCCAAATTATCCTGAGACTGATAAAGATCTGTATTTTGGTCCAGATGAAGGTATTTGTATGGCTCTTTTCTTTGCATTTAAATGTTCGTCTCAATCTGAATTTGTCTCCTAGTTCATTCCTCGCCTCTCAGTAAAAACAGGCTTCTGACACAACCCTTTTCCATAGCCCAGACATATGAAGAATACAGGAGATTGTGGGGACATGTACTACACAGCAACTACTTGCGGGAAATTCCTGTAGCTCCTTGTTTGCTGTAGGCCTCTTGGCAGCCTCCCTCACCAGTTTACGTCTTGTGTTTTCATCAACTTTGGATGGGCATCCAGTTCTTGGTAATGTCACAGTTGTCATATTTTCTTAACTTGATGATGACTATCTTCACTGTGTTTCAAGGCACATAAAATGCCTTGGAAATTCTTTTGTACCCTTCTGATGGATATATTTTAATAATAAGATTCCTCTGATGCTTTGGAAGTTGATGTGGACCATGGCTGTAAGATGCTGTAAGAAAATGTCAGGAAAAGTCTACTAGAAGAGCTGAATATTAGGGGTTAATCAGAGGAACTTTAAATGATAGGAGGTGTGTACTGACGCCGACTGAATATGAGTTTGAATGTGATAAGTTAATTCTGAAATGCACATCCCCAGTTATAACAGGGTGTGCACAGTTATGCAACCACATTATTTGAATTTTTATTATTTTCACCCATAAAGATTTTTTTTACCAAATGGTAAATAGCTTGAACTTATATAGCGCCTCATCAAGTCCACATGGACACCAATACACTTCAGGCATTCACCCATTCCCACACTGATGGTGGTGAGCTCCATAGTTGCCCTAGTGCACAATGACAGTGTAATTATTGAGTTCTACATTAAATGTGGAAAAAGTTCTGAAATGATTCATCTCGGTGTCATTTTTTACATCACAAAAACCTGGAATTTAACGGGGGGTGTAAACTTTTTAAATCCACTGTATGTTGAGGACATCATGTGAAGGTACTGCTTATAAGACTGAGTTTATCTCTAACTAACCAGACTGAAGAAGTCTCCTAGAGAAAAGACGAAGCGTTTCAACAAAGAAGAACCCATCCTGAGGRCCTACACAACCTTTATTTTTTTTGGATGGATTGCTTATTTAACTTGTACCAGTCTGTCATGGTGAAGCGAGGGTTTACTGGTCGGTCTACGTTCCTACCCTCATCTATGGTCACGAGCTTTGGGTAGTGACCGAAAGAATGAGATTGCGGATACAAGTGGCCAAAATGAGTTTCCTCTGCAGGGTGTCTGGGCTCTCCCTTAGAGATAGGGTAAGAAGCTCAGTCATCCAGGAGGGACTCAGAGTAGAGCCGCTGCTCCTCCACATCGAGAGGAGCCAGTTGAGGTGGTTCATCTGGTTAGGATGCCTCCTGGACGCCTCCSTGGTGAGGTGTTCTGGGCACGTCCCACTGGGAGGAGGCCCAGAGGAAGACCCAGGCATGCTGGAGGGACTATGGCTGTGTCCAAAATGACAGGCCGGGTCCTCCGGAGGACCCAGACTACCCAATCGAGGTGGGCCGGGTCCTTGGTAGATCGGGAAGACCAGAAAAAAAGAGGCTGTGAATTTGGACGGCSTAGCGTCCCATCCTTACGTMATGTCACCTAGCAACTGTGACGACGAGAAACAAGCAAACTTAAATCAAAACTAGAAAAATATCAATATATTAGCATTATTAATATCACAAAACTATAAAATTAACTTAAAGGTAACATTTGAAGAACTAATTGACCCGCTGTAAGTGCATGTTCATTTCGCGTTTTTTTATGACAAAAATAATATTTWAAAACATGTCTATTCAAATGATAAAAGTATTAGAATTACAACCGCTAAAAAAATTTAATTTTTATATCGCCATATTTTTATTTAAAACATATTCTTTTGTCTCGCTTCGTCTGCCTTAACCAGCATAAAAAGATCTCCGGTCGGGCCGCAGTGCATTATGGATACGCTGGGCCGGGAAGGATCCATCAGACCTGTCCTTCAAATCGAGGCAAAGGAAGGATGCATTTATCAGCCACATCGGAGGAGTCTTCGGTTTTGGACGTCCTTCGTTGTGGCGGTGTGACGTATGCGGCCGATGAATTCGGCCTTTGGAGGACCCGACCTGCCGTTTTGGACATAGCCTATGTTTCTCAGCTGTTATGGGAAAACCTAGTGATTCCCCCTGATGAGCTGGTCCAAGTGGCTGGGGASAGGGAAGTCTGGGTCTCTCTGCTTAGGCTGCTGCCCCCGCAACCCGACCCCGGATAAGAGGAAGAAAACGGACGGACCATGTATCATATAGTATATTGGAAGAGGCTTGTGTTGTTGGTTAAAGAGTTGGAGGAAAATCTAGTTTATTTTCTCGCCCACGCAGATGGAAAGAAGATGTGGATGTTGGTGGCATGTTCATGTGCTCAGTAGGATCAGAGAAGCTGCTCCTCGAAGCTGTCCATATGGCTACTATAACAACCAGTAGAGATGTGACATTTGCAATCAGAATCGTTTACATGGCTCCTTACAACAGAAAAGCAGGAGGGGGTTCTGCCTGACAAAACACATGGCATGGCCCACTTGATGGAATTACATCATCACATGTATAGGACTTCACTCATTCGAAATCCGATGGCTCTAAGATCTGAATGCCTTCAAAGACCATTCATTCCATCTTTAACAACCAGTTCCTTGAAGCATGCACTGCTCATAAACAAACACGCCCACAAAGTTCTGASCAATCAGACAATCCGAACCGCATAGGTCTGCAAGACAGAGCTCCGACTGAGGAAAACAGGGTGTCAGTGGGCGATAACAGACGCAATTTTCATCACACAAGGCTGTAAGCGAAACGTGAGAATGAAAGTTTCAATCAGCCTCAACTTTCTCAAATGTGTGAAGAAAYTAAACAAATAAAACTTTTGCGTAGACTAATATTAGAACTTCAGATGTCTTTTCCCCAAAATGTTTTATAAAGAGAAGACTATGGTCTCAAACATAAACAAAACCCTCATATGGTTAATGGCTAATGTTAGCATTAGAAACCTGATTTATCAACTCAATTTAGCATTTTCCTTTTCTCCCAAACTTCATAATCCTTCTGCCTCAGATTTGCATTTCTGTAATGTCTAAACACAAGCTTATTTGTCTAGACTTAAAACCAAACAAACATATTTATGCTAAGTTAGCATAATAGCATTTTTATTTCTGAAACTTTATCTAAAGAGTTACTTATTATCTTAACAAAAACTATATGCTGATGATACCAGTTTTATTTTACTAGTTTAGCTTGTTGGTAAGCTAGTATTTAATAATTACCATGTACTACATTTCGTAGCATTACATGTATTTCTTGATATAATACATTAGCAATCAAACACAGTAACCTTGATAAAGGGTGTCATGACTCGATATGAGTCGTGCCCAAAGTGAGTCGAACATGTGCAGAACGAGAGTTGGGCAGATGCTGAATCATCCAGACGTATAAAACCTAGAAATTGCTGTAGTTTGTTTGTGACATGAACAAACAATGGTTCTACCATTATTCTATGGACTACAGCAGTCCAACTCTCAAAAACAAATCAACAGAAAGTTCCTTATTATCATTTAGTGATCATAGTTTTAAGGTTTTATTAAATTACAGTATTGTTAAAAACAGAAAACTGATAATACTAAGATTTATAGACCAAACTCATCTTTTTCTTTTGCTAAAAAATGAAAATATTAATGCAATAATGGGGACAAACTAAACTAAATGTAAGTTTTCAGAAATGTATGATTAATTTAAACAATTTAATTAACTGTCAGGCAAAAAAAAAGCGGGAAAGAAAGCTATTTATTTTAAACATAAGGCATGATAAGATGACATGATAAAAGCAGTGAGTACAGAAAAAGCAAACAAAAAACAAACCCAACAAAAAAATGTGCCTGTGTGATACAACCTATATCCCTTCCAGGTTCTTGATATTTTTTATAATAAAACCCATGAAACACATCACATAATGAAGTGATTGCACATGTGACTGACTTTGGGCAGCGATTCACAGCAGGTAATGACAGTGAGCGTGCTAACATGCCTGTTTAAGCTGTGGCATGTTAACGGTTGAATTGTAAGCATGTTACAGTGATGACGTCTGTATTTAGCCTCAGACTGGACAGCAACGTAATTACTGGACAGAACAGAAACAGAAACAATCAAATAAACAGYACTCCTATTTGATTTTAGCATTTAAAACCAGCGTCTGATCCCTCCCAGTTTCTGTATTTGCAGATGCAAGGTTTTTGTGTTTCAGGACCTGCGTTCCACTCAGACACGCCGCATACTTACTGTCGATGATGGGCTCCATGCAGAAGCCCAGCAGTGCATGCAGGAAGTCCACAATGTTATTGAGGGAGTCTTTGTTGACATACTCGCGCATTGTTTGTCGAAACTGCACCTTGTCCAGTTTATACAGGTTGGTCAGGCAGTTCTGAGCCTGAAAGCAAATATATTTAAAATAAAAAGTCTCATATGGTTCTTTATGAACATTTTTCACTTGGCAAAGTTATAAATGCTTGCTTTCAGAACAAAATAGAGTATTGTTTTGTTTGCTCCTACAAGATGGGTGAACTTTGAAACTTAATGTAAGAAGAATGATGTGAGAAGAAGACAGAGACACTGACCTGCATCCTGAGGCGATCTCCTGATAGTCCCCGGTGGCCCTCGCCACAACCATATGCACACCCCAGGGACTTGACTATCTTTATCAGCATGGTTAGAGCCAGGCGGTGGGTGTTAAAGCCAGAACCGTCATCCTGCTTACATAAAGACGACTTGTAGAAATCATTCAAACACGCAATTTTAAAATAAAACGCAATTTCAACCCACCGTTTTGTCACCATCCTTGTTATTCTTCACGTCATCCTTGCTCCCCTGCCCACTTCCTCCACCGCTTCCCCCTCCTCCACCACCTCCATCCCCGCCTCCGCCGGCTCCCGAAATGGGTCCGCCTCCATGAGCRCCTCCTCCAAGGCCCTGGCCAGCAGGGTCTTTGGCCCGCGCCTCCTGGTTCTCCTTGTTGTCGGTTTTGGACAGCTTCTTGCCCATGCCGGGCACCACGCCCAGCTGCAGCAGGCAGTCGATGATGTTGAGTGCCACGTCGCAGATCCTGGAGCTGATGTCGTGACTGAAGACGGCGTAAAGGGCCCGCAGGACGGCCTGATTTACAAAAGGGTGAGAGCGTCTGTATGACAAAACCCATACTTCCTAAATTACCAGATACAATTAAAAATGTTTTTTTAGTGTAATGTGGTGGAACGGTGTGCTGACAATAATTTAGTCCTCAATACAACCAAGACAAAGGAACTAACTGATGATTTTCGGAAGAGGAAGTCAAATCTGCAGCTCATTTGCGTCAATGGGGAGTGTGTGGAAAGTGTTTCCAGCTTTAACTTCCTGGTTGTGCACATGGACACAGAGCTCATATGGAGCACTGTGATGGTTGTGAAAAGGATCCATCAGTCTACTTTTTGAGGATCCTCAGTAAAAGCGGGCTGACACACTGCATCTCAGTGTTTTCCAGCTACACAAGTTGSTCCAGAAGCATATTAATCAGGTCACTGGTTCTATCCCCCGTCCAGCCATCTCAGTCGTTGTGTCCTTGGGCAAGACACTTCACCCNGCTGTTTGTATGCACAAAATACCATGTAGAGCTCAGTTAGTGTTTATCTGTCTGAGGAACGTGACATTTTGTGTTTAGTCAAAGTTAAACACGAAATGTTGAAGTTATTTACAACTGATTCTTGAAGAGCAATCATAACGGTCATTTGGCCCTCGGTGAATATGAATTTAACATCCCTGCTGTATCTTTCAATTGAGYATTGAAACCAGTATTGATACCAGTATCTGTATCGGTTCTGAGTATCGGGACATTTTGAACTAGTATGGGCACTTGTAAAAATGCTAATTTTAGATGTTTTCTGCTGTACCAGCAATAATTCTGCCTAATTCTGTTATTCYTTTGCTTTTTTCAACTTTTTTGTGCTTCTTTCTGCTAGTTTGAGCTATTCCTGCTTCCTACTGTTTATTTCTGCTATATACAGCTATTTACTTCCATTTTAGCTAATGTTCAGCTGTTATTAGCTAAAGCTAACTATTTTTAAACTAAATACATTTGTTGTAACTATTACAACTTATTTCTGCTAAGTTCAACAAATTTGAGCTCCTAATGCTTCCTTGTTCTAATTTAAAAAAATTCCAGCTATATTTTAGCTGTTTTACTGCTAAAATATAGCTGTGGCGGAGTGGTTAGGGGCGTCGTCCTGGAACCGGAAGGTCACTGGTTTAATACCCCATCCAGCCATTTCAGTTGTTGTGTCCTTGGGCAAGACACTTCACCCACCTTGCCTACTGATGGTGGTCAGAGGGTCTGGTGGCACCGGTGCATGGCAGCCCCACCTCTGTCAGTGTGCCCCAGGGCAGCTGTGGCTACAGTGTAGTTTGCCATCATCAGTGTGTGAATGTGAGTGTGAATGGGTGAATGTCTGTTAGTGTAAAGCGCTTTGGGGTCCRGAGGGACTTGAAAAGCGCTCTATAAGTTCAGTCCACTTACCATATTGTTTATGTTTTATACTGTCTTAGAATTTTTTATATGTTATGTTTCATAAATGATGTTATAGTATTTTGAAAAAGCTTTTTTAATTGATACTATTTACTCTTTGTAACTACATCACCTAGTCACATGGGAACACCATGACAGACGTCAGAACTGAGAGAGCAGAGTACTGAACAGACTGACTGTGATTGTTTTTCTAAGTTGTTTTTAGCCGCGGCTTCTAGCCTAATTGTTGAAGTTGAGCTAACTTGTGGAAGTAGCAGACCTAGTTGGGCTCATACACAGATGTATTTAAAAAGTTAACATAGCTAAACAGTAAAATAGACAAAAGTTCTCTGTCACACACGTCAACCCCTTCAGATGTTTACCTGCTTCTTGATCCTCAAAAATCAGATTGAGCTGGTTATTTAATTAAAAAAATTTCACGTCCTACAGGCTACAGACATGAAAATAAATTTGAAGTGGAATTAAAAAAGAAAAAAGCGCAGATCAACAGTCTGCTTCTTTGTCCCCGCAGATGGTACTGAGTGTGACTAATATTGACTTTTTGCTTGGAAGATTTTGTGTGTGTAAAAGTGAGTGTGTGTGGGTTTGTTTTGGTTTATTGTGAGGACCCATTGTCCACCACTTGCCTGTTTTTTTGACTAGCTGTACAGGAGTTTACTTGAGCACAGATTGTTTTGACGTCCRTCATGRCAAAGTCGGTGGTCTTCTGAAGTGCGTGACGTCACGTGCATTAGGGTCAATAATGCTTTTATTACGTTGCATGTTTACACTGAGTGAGAGGACTATGATCTCATTTTATTATCCTAGTGTAACTGTACAAATACAATAGTGGTGGGCACAGTTCTGCTAATMCGCTAACAGCTAATAGCGAAGCTAAWCTTAGCRTTTTCGCTRACTTTAGAAACTTTTTGTGAACCAATAAGCTTCTTTTAAATTTAATTAAACTAACTKTAATCTGCTAATAAAAACTATCCCCTCACAATGACAATACATGACAGATCATGAGTTAGAGTTTAGTGTTAGCTTCTGCTAATTTTCTTGTCTACGTATTTAGTGGTTTAGCATTTGCAAAGCTAAGCTTATAGTTAGCGGATTGACGGTTAGTGAAGCTRACTGCTGGGTTAGCTGTGCTCACCACTGACATTAAAGTTGTACCTGATTTCAGCTGGATTTTACAATAAAACTAACTCATCACTCACTGTGAGATCCAACATGCCATTTTTCAGCACAAAGTTATTGGTCCCCTCAATGTTCTCGCCCTCCTCCAGACACGAGTAGTTGATGCAGGAGTCGGTGAGGCTGCGCGGCAGGTTGGCGCAGGCCAGCGGCTCCACCGGGATCTCGGGCACAGCGACCGGGCTGCAGAGCTTCTTCATGTGCTCCGTGAAGAAGTCAGCGTAGCCCACGTTAAAGGACGCCACAGTTGTGTTGAATGCCGCCATGGTGATGGTGGAGATCTGAGATCGAACTTTGAAGCACAAAAAAGGAAAACCTTGTTTCACTGAACTAAGGTTTTAAATTTGTTTTCAGCTGGTTGTGGTTTCACCTTCTTTCACGGTGTTGTCGCTGTGGCTGTTGGAATGGTCGGGCATGTCTCGGAGCAGGGAATGGTGGGAATGGGAGTGTTTGGCACTCAAGCTGTCTGCGTCTGCAGCCGTGTCTGTGCTACCTCTGCGTGTAAATTTACCTGGAAATTAAATTAAAAATAAAATAAAAACAGAGACTGTAGATATCTGAATTAGTGCAGAAAAAAGTGAAATAAACTGCTATTTTCCTGGAGAAAGAGGGCTTGTTGACAACTGTGGAGACACTAAAGGAAAAATCAGAGCACTAATGTTATCTCGGTGCCACTTTACAATCAGGCTCCCCTTATAGATGGATTTTAAAGAGTTTGTAGATAATTTATTAATTAATCTGTAAACACTTTATAAATTATTATTAAATATTTATTATGCATTAATTAAAGA